CCCTGCGGGCACTGCACTGAGATCGTCCTCCCCCGGGGTTATCGATCAGCTGAAACGCGGAGGAGCGCTCAGCATCAATAACGCATCTGCAAACACGGCTGAAAAAGCAGCTCTCACCCAGCGGCGAGCAGCGTTTCCAGGGGGGCTGTGCGGCCGAGCGGGTGCCCCGGGCTGCCCGGCACCCGTCCTGCCCCAGCAGCTCTCTCTGGTAGCCCCAGCAATGCAGCGCTTGGCGAGGCGAGGCTGGGGCAGTTCTGAGCACAGGGGGGGTGGAGGATGTTCTGAGCTGTGGGGAGCAACACCCGTGTGGGGCCAGTGGGATGGGGACATCTTCGTGTCCCCCCCCAGCAGTGGGAGATTTGGAGCCCCAGCAAATCATTTGCAGGGGGCAATGAGAGCTCAGCCCCCAGGGGGTCCCAAACACCTCTGCCAGCCCCAAGATTTGCTGCCTTCCCCTGCACTTCATCACCCACCCCATACGTTTTGCAGGCACCAACATCTCCCACCCCCGTCACGAGGCTCAGCCCTTCTTCTCCCCAATGGTCCCACCACACCAGGGGTGGTGGGAGGGATGGGGGGATGAGGCAGCATTCCCTGGGATCCCCCACCTGTGTCTCCCGCATTTCCCAGAGGGATTTCCCCAGCCATCACGGATTTCCTCGCAAGCACGAGTGATAAAAGCCAGGGCTGGCAGAGCCCCAGGACCCTGTGCCACGGCCCTGGGAGAGGGGACAGCTGGAGATGGAGGCTGGTGGCCTGTCACCAGCGGCTCTGCTCCTCGCCACGTTCCGCAGCCAAAAGCAGAGCCAGAGCTGTGAGTGCTGGCAAGGAACCCCCCTCCATGAAACACGGGAAGGAAGGGAGGTTTTTCAGCCCAGACCACATACGGGACCAGGGGACCTGCGGGGCCACCCCAGAGCAGAGACTGGATCCGCTCACCACAGCAGTGGGTCTGCCCATGTCCCGTGCCCTTCTCTGCATCTAACGCAGGAGGGCTGATGAGCTGCAGTGAGGTGAAGACCAGTTTCTCCTAAATTCATTGAGAGCCACAGGAGCACCTGGTTTTGCCTCTGGCCCTTCTGAGCCCCTGTGGACACCCTGGCTCTGGTGTCATGTTTGTGCAACCCAGTAAAGCCCCGTCCTGGCCGATGTGGGGAGGGGAAAGGGGGATATTCCCCCTGAGATGGAGGGGAGGAGCCCCGGGGACCTGGGGATGCTCAGGGGCTGACAGCACCTGGGGCCCAACCAGGGCTGGAAATCCCCCGTGCTCCAAAATGCTCCATCCGCAGGGTCCGCTCACCCCACGGGGCAGAGGCCAGAGCTGGGGCTCGGGACAGAGGGATGCTGCAGGTGCTGGGAACGTCATCCCTGGAATTTCCCGGCCTGACATATCCCAGCATTTTGCTGGGAGTCTTTAAAAACAGCCTTTCCCAGTCAAATAAACCCTCTTTCATTTTCCTTGTACTTCTGTCTTATTTTCTTATTGCAGGGAAGATTTTCTACCTTTAAGAGGCCACATTTACCCCAGCTGGGCTACGACGTCCTTGGAGCGTGGGAGTAAGAATGGGAATAACAGGGAAAGGATGGATCGAGGAAGGGGAAGACGAGCCAGGCAGCTGCACAGGACTGGGACCACAGGCGTACGCTTTCCTCCGCTCCCCGGGGTCTCCCCGCGGAGAGATTAAATGGGATTTGGAGTGATGACAGGAAGGTGCTCTGCGCTGCCAGCCGGGCACGGAAACATGAACCCCACTTTGCCTGCCCCCGCCAACCTCGGGGCATCGCCCAGCCCCACTTGCTGCACCCCAGTGTTACCCAGCACATGAGCCCCAAAAAATTGAGACTGATTCCTGGGAAATGGTTTTAGAGAAGAGCAAATGGAGGGACACATGAGGTCCCACCGTGGAGGTGGCTGCTGTTCCCACCGGGGCAGGTCCCTGCCTGGAGCGGCACCCCATGCCCTCCCCAGCCGGGTCTCCATGGCGGGGCTGGACTGCAGCCCCCCTCCCCCAGCTGCCGGCAGCTGGGATGCGCCCCGGGATTTGCTGAGGCTGGGGGGGAGAGGGGGCTTTTTGGACAGCTGCGACCAGGCAAAATCCACTGGGGAAGCCCCAGACTGGCCTCTGCCTTTCCCAGCTCAGCACGGCCAAGAACATGAGCTGCTGCTTCGGTGCCGGGGGGAGACAGAACTGGAGTCACTTGCTCAGCCTGTCCCGACCCTGAGAGGCCCTGAGCACCCCCAAAACCAGCACAGAGCCGTGTGCGTGCCTGGTGCAACCAAACAGAAGCTGTTTCTCTACGGCTTATTTTAGGAGGGGGAGGTGGTATTTGGCTGTTTGTCCCCCAGGTCGGGATGCAAAGCAATGCGATGGGAAACTTTGCGGTGCAGGGGGAGGACATGGACTGTCAGGAGAGTGTGCGGCTACCGGGGACCCCGCAGGGTGCTGAGCCTGGCCCTGGTCCCATCCAAAGGAGATCTCCAGACCCTCTCGCCCACCCTGGTTTTTCTGTCATGGGGCACACAGCCTCCCTGGGGCATGGGCATGCAGAGCCAAGCTTTGGGAGCAAGCCGGCCACCAGACCTAATGCTGGAGGCAGGAGCTCGGGAAAAATCCTAAGCCCATGGGGGGCCAAGAGCACAGCCCAGGAGCAGTTTTTCCCTTCTCGTGGCTGTGCTGGGAGGGGATG